TATATATATAAAAAATACATGTACATATATACGTTGAAATATCTTTCTCTTTCATCGAAATATATATCGGAATATCTCTTACGACTAATGCATGTGTGTGCCTAAAGATGACGGGAAATTTCAGAACCGTTATCGGATCGAAAAGTGACACTGACGTAAACGGATTGACGGGCGATTCACAGAGGACATGAGTGATGAGCCACATTTTGAGTTTCCGTTCGCATCGAAAGCGGACAACAATTACAACAAAGAGAGTAGATAACAAATTTATCTTATTAAAATTCAATTTCACACGTTTACACGCGTTGCAATTGTTAATCATCTCGCAATTTTGATTGCGGCTCTCACGATGCACTTATTAAACGTATAATTACGTGTCTTCATTATTATCCGCGAATAGAGAGTTTTCCGCAATTAAACTTGAAACGAAATGAAATTTATGAAGAGCTATTAATTAATCTTTTTTTTTTTTTTTCAATGCACAATTTTATGTATTTATCCTTCAACTTTATCCGCGACAATGTAGTCAGAAAAAAGCGCGATATCTCTACTGTATCATTTTAATTAAAGAACTTTTTCGAATTAAATTTTACATCCAAGTGGGTCACACGTATTATTATTATTATTATTATTATTATTATCATTATTATTATTATTATTTCGCGCGCTCGTCGAGAAACTCGAAAACTCGGAGAGAAAATAAATCTCACGAGAGAATTTATATATGAAAACTATCGATATCGTGTGTGCGCGCACACGTACTGGCATTGAACTCAACTCAAAGTTAATATATGTTCGAAAATAGCGGAGAACAGCGGAAAAGTTTTTCTCGTTCGCGTGTATATAAGCGAGTTTTTTGAGAACAAAGAGAAAATCGTTGCGGACCAATTTTGCTCGTTTCAATAATCCTACTCTTTCGAGAATGTCGAAGTCCATCGACTTCGGAACCTGTTGCGTTCTTTTTTGCAAAACAGAATATGCAGTTGTAGTATCTTCACAACGAATTTTGGATAAACTTATGGAAGTATTTTGTAAATTCGTAAAAAACAATATAAATGCAAATGCGTAAAGAAAAAAAAAACTTATATATAATCGCAAAGAGTTAATTAAAAATCACTTCTCGGAAACGTAAGTGTCTTTCCACGTGAATTCGCACCATTCGTAACATCTCAAAAGCAAAAAGAAAAACATTATTTGGTGCGTAACCTCGTGGTGGGAAGATTTTACGCCTCCGACCGTAAGTGAGAATCTTGGAAATAAAATTCGAAATCTCGTATATATTGTGCTTCGCGCTCGCGTTGCAAACGTTGCTGTCCGGTGATAATCATAGATCTCGCAAAAAAATGGAAAAATTTCCAATTCACCGATCGCGCTAACAAAGTGTTACGTTATGTGAAACCGAACTTCGCTGAATGAACAATAATAATTTTCGCCACTATTGTTTTCCGACAATGTACTCGCATGCACTCATCATTATTCCGTACTTGCTTGACCCATTTTTCAGATAGACTCAAAAGCCCGTTTAAAGCTCGTATTTTACGCGCGTCGTAGATTTAATCACAATACAAATTCGCGGACAAAACAGAGATAATATATAGTATACGTCGTATATAACGTGAATCAAACCCGATTATTGTATTAAGTGCCACTTTCTCGTCGCATGCATTCGTGCCGTGAGAGAGTGTGTTCAAAAGAGGACGTTCTTCGTGTGCGGCAATAAAAAAAAAAAAAACGTAACAGTTGTAACATAAAACATTGAGAATTACCCTCATGTTTGCGAAATATGTGATTGACGGAATTGCAGCATCCTTAATTTAATGCAAAGTTCAAGTTACAACGTGTGTGACAGATGTTGAATTTGTGTATAAAAAAGAAAATATTTTGTTTATATGTTCTCACTTCTTGTTTATAATGGAAATAGTTTTTTGTCAATTTTTTATAATTTACGGTAACGCAAATTGCGAAATTATCGCGAACGGAAGGAACAACATCGCGAGTTTTATAACCGCGAGTGGAAAATCGATCGATTTTGAGACGAAATATAATTTTAGAATCAGACCGCGCAGTAGCCTTAGTTGAGGTCGGCGAGTTATTGAATCTCTGCACACGCAGTGGCCGAGTTTGTTTCAGCCAATCATCACTAGAAATTGCTTTTTTCTATAAACAGATAACACATCTTTGCGTTTCATTCGCGACACCACAGCCCCGAATGCTTTTCATTTATGCGATCCGACTAATGATCACGAGGGATTTTAATACTTGACGATCTCATTAACTCGGCACACACACGTTACGAATCACGGTTCATTGAGCCGAATATCAAACGCGAGATTAATACCGTGGCGCGCGAAAAATTCGCGTTCGAACGATAAAATTGGTAAAATGCGGTATAAAATATATGTGACATTCCGACAGTCTGATGTGAAATTTTTTGCTTTGACTTTTGAAATACAATACGACATTTCCAGAGAGTTTGAAACATCTTGTTCAATTAAGTTCGGCGCAGAAAAGTGCGCAAATGAACGTCGAAATTGCAGATCGCACGTAGAAATTGCGTTCGACTTCTTTTTATTCTCTTTTTTTTTTTTTTTTTA